TCTTCAGAGGTTTTTAGAACAGTAATAGTGTGGTTGCCTGTAAAAACACAATACATGTAAGCTAAGTTGGTTGAAAGGTTTGACTTCATACTAAGTATTTTTCAACATTTTCATTAGAATCAAACAACATTGAGAATTAGGCATGAGTTGTATAGAAACAAAAGTAGTTAGCTTGAGTACACTGTACTTTTATTTATTAGGGATCTCAATTTTTAAAAAGGATGCTCTGCTATTTATAAATAAATGCATGTATGTACCTGCACCAGATAGTATATTTTGACCTTCATCTAGGATAGAAAAAGAGCACATAAATTAATTACTGGAATGAGACATTCTTGAATTATCACCAGATAATTTTACTTTTACTGTTGGGCTTTGGTCTTCTGGTTGGTTGGACTTCTTCAGCTGGAGAAAAATGTAACAGATAAACATTTAGCTATGTGCTAAAAGTGTGAAATGATTTCCTTTGGACTTTTATGACTGATTGTTTATTTGCTGTGGCTCCCACAAGCTAACACACTTTGCAACCATAGACTCGATTAAGTTGCTTAACTTGTTTCACTTACATATTCTTCACGCTGTTGCTTGAGTAGATCCTCAAGAGGTAACTCAGCTCCCACTTGGTACCCAGGTGCTTTTCTTATATCCCAACTAGAGTCTGTGGTGCCTTGACATCCTTGTAGCAAGTAGGATCTAGGTGGTGTCTGATCCTGCTGAGGTAGTTCATGGTAAGCCTCCCATGAAATGGAATACTTGTCCATTATAAAAAATATTCCCCTGACTTTGTCCTTTTTGGCTTCAGGCAACTTCTCATAAGCATGCATTTTCTTCTCTAGAGGGAAATAGCAATTGTGATAACATATTACATTTTTCAAATGAAGTGTAACTATCAAGTTGTTGTTATTATTATTAGTATTATTACTGTTATTATCATTATTGTTAAATGCAGAAAGCAAGGCTGTTCTGAAACCACTTTTGTGACTCAGAAGGCACCCTGTTGGAAGATAATTATTTTTAGAAAGGTCTCCCTACCTTTGGAACTGTCTCCTTGCCTCAAATGGACTTTGTTTTGAATTTCAGGAACTGCTCCACTAATAGGTATGTTTTCTTTGTTAGGACCATCAGCTAAGAGAGTGATAAGAGGACAGTCATGTGTTGCTCTAGTGAATTAGTCCATTGCAGTATACTGGTTTTTTGAAGTTTGGTTACCTGTTGGAATTTCTTTTAAATTGATGTCATTGCTCTGTCCGGTTGTATCCTGGAGCCTTAAGGACTCAGGCATTAATCCGTATGTTTCTCTGAACCAGAGTGCATCTTTAGTTCTTCTTCTGCAAAGAAATAACAAAACATTACTTTCAATTTCACCAACAGGTCCATATATAATTCCCTAAGCAACTAAATGGTTTAGGTTGGCAACAAGAGGTAATTAAAAGCCGACCGTATCTCAGTTAAATGTCTGTTCTGCTGTTTCTTTCCGACTTCTGTAAAGTGTTTACCATTGTGGGCAAGTCTCTGACCCTCTGAATGGTATAGCTCGGCAGTCTTGTCTTCAACTGTGGTCAAAAGGTTGTTGTTCTCTTTCGTCACCTTTGGAAATACATGAGATGGTGTTAGCCTGATCTCCTCAGGGTTTATTGTAGTTTTAACCCATGTCTTGGCTTGTACTTTTTGCCTCTGTTTACTGCTTTTAATTGAGTCCATCTCCTTATATTTTTGCCGACTGTGCAACCAATGTGATCACAGGAGGATTCATTAAGCTTGTAGCCGAGAGGCAGGATGCTTGCCTGGAGTGAATCAAATACTCTACAAGGCAGTCAGTAAAACATTTTCCATTTCCTGGCTGCTTCACTGCTCATTCGAATTATGTACACTGGATTGCTTCACTCAAGAAAAGGTGGAACTACTTGTATAAGATGAGAGTGGATAGGGGCTTCTATGAGCTATGAAAAGAGCTCCTGATCATGATCATTTTTTTCTTTGATCATTCATCATCACACGGTTTAGTAGCATAAAGCAGCTGATTTGCTAAGATCACTTTTAAAACTTGCGGTAAATCGTCTATTTTACAAATGAGTGGTTTTCTTGAATAGGCCTTTGTTTAGTTTTTATGGCCATTGTTATTCAAGCTAGGGCTGAAAACAATAGTGTTGAAATCTTCTATCTCCCGCTCTTGGGTTTATAGAAGTCAGTTTGAGTTTGTGAAAAATCACTTTTGAAATCAGCCCTCGTGCTAAAATTCTTCTCTAATTATGGGCTTTTCAAGGCACAAGTGCATTCAAATCTCCTGCTTCAGTGCTGATGAATAATTAATGATGTCCGGGCATTCTGTGCAATGGCTAGTACTTAACGACGCAGGTCATTCATGGTTGTTGGAGAAGTGGAGTTAGTATGTTAGTACATTGGTATACTTGTGAAACAGTTATCAGACATACTGTTAGTGATGACAGTTATCACTAGTTCGAAGGATAATTCTATTGAAAGTTCAAGGCCTGTTCAGTGACATTTTCTTTGAACAAAGGACACTTTTTCGTTGAATTTTCACCACAAAGCAAAAATTCATGGCAGAAAGTGTCTCTTCAATTACTAGTGTACGAAATTTCGCTTTGAACTGACAATAGCCTTATGCGAGTCTGCCTTTTGGTTGAGCATTGAGGGCAAGGGTAATATGTGGGGGTCCAAAAAAACTAAAAGAAATATTAAAGTAAAAAATTATTTAAATAGTAAATATAAATGTAAACAAAATAAGAAATATAAATAAATGTTAAAGTTAAAAGTGAAGTAGAATTAATAAATTAATAATTAAATGATAGGTAATAATAACACTTGGAATGCTAATAGTCTACACAGCATTTTTTGGGCATGTCTTTGGGGGAGCGTTGTGTGACATCCTAGTGAACTGCATGATAGATCAAAAGAAAGAACAGATAACTGTACCATTTCGAAGAGTGAAAAACGAAATTATTCTGTGAAATTGTAAAATATTGACTACACAATAATTGCCTTTATTGTGTTGCCTCAAGCCCTCACCGGCATGACCTATTCTGGAATTTGAACTACATACCTACATTTCTGACTCATTTCGGACTAAAAAACCAGATGCTTTAAACAAGAATGCTGAACCTTTACCCAGCAATTGTCGTTAGATTGAGATTATAAATTCAAACATTACAACTTTCATAAGCAGACTACCATGTTCGCGCAGGAGAAACATCTCTGGAAAGGAAAACCCTGTTGTTGATCTGGCATGCGGTTATCCGGTAAAAGCCTTTGTTGTCAGGGTAATTGGGTATACCAGGAAAACTGACCACATTGTGCCTTGACAAGTGTTGATAAATCTCAAACAAAGCACCTACTACTGTACCATTTTTGGAGGGTGAAAAACGGAATTATTCTGTAACGTTGGGCAAAACACCTGGCTGCTGTAAAATATTGACTGCACAATTTAATATGTAATATGGTAATATGTCGAGGGTGTGGGTAACATGTCATACATTTCCCAAAAAAACATTTCAGCATTTCAATTTTTTCTCCTTCAGAGATTACCATATCCAGAGTATTATTTATTATTACTGATTACTATTACTTATTACTGAAATTACTATCAAATGCCATTCAAAAAACTGTATCCAGGGTATTTTTGCTACACCTTATTAACACATAATTATATTAGATTGAAAAGAATACTGCACTGTGCCTGGTTTAAGGAAGCATAGACGGTATTGTCAATGTACACAAGTCCTGTGAAAAGAGGATTTTTCCTTGAAATGTGCGATGGAATCAGATGATAATATGTATTGCTGAAATCACTGCTGTACACTTTCCAGTTTGCTTGTTTCTCCTTGTTACTCTCCTGTCCACATGTTTAATGATTATATTCGTTGGTAGGGTTTTGTACTTAGGAGAAAAATCATTTCCGCAACCATAGTACCTTTGCACCCTGGTGGGTGTCACCACAACCTCATAGGCATTAGGTGACATACCAGCATTCCATGATGGAGCTGGTGCTTGTTGTGGCAAAACTGGTCCAATTGGCGGAACCAGTGGGGGCACCTGCATGGGTGTACGATGAGAAATTGGAGGCGAGGGTGTTACTGGAAGCTGTTGTATGCCAAGGGGGGATCTGAAAAGGCAGGTTCACTGGTAGCTGGGGAGCCAGTATGCAAGGGGATCCTTGTGGCAGTGTATATTGTGGCAGCATTTGCGAGGGTATCTGCAGTGCTGCAGAGGACATCTGTGGTGCCATAGATGTCACAACATCTGGTTGCTGGAGTGTGGGAATAGTGTTAGTCTCACTCTTCAAGATGCTTCTTCAGATTCCGTTTTGATTTTTTTCTACTGCTAGGACGGTGTGATGATTGCAGGTCAATCAGTAAGCCATGTTTTTCATTGTGATCTGCAAACATCTCTTTTCCTATGGATCGGGCTTTATTTATCTGGCTAGCATGTCTCCTCTCCACTGCCAATCAGCATAGGAAGGGCCACTTTCACCTGATGGAGAACCAGACTGGTAGTTTTGGAGTTCAATGTCAAGCAACAAAGACTCTTGTGTGTCTGCTTGACTTGCATCTAGCAGTGATAAATTGGGGCAGTCTCTGTGCACCCAACTAGCGTGGATCACTTCTGCTTGATTCATCTGCGGTGCATCCTGTACAGCAAATGCATGAAAAATGAACCCATGTCTGTCATGCCACCAAGAAACACAATCTACTAAGAAAGCTTTGTCTTTTGCACTGATGAATTTGTCCATGTGTCCCTTTGCAGATTCATAATCTTCCACAGTTGCACTATGCAACAGTCTATTGCAAAGTCCCTTAAACTCTTCCGCCCTATCTGGGTTTAGTTTTGTGCTTTTTTATTGCGATGGTCCCTGAAAGGCAGAAAGAACAGAGGAAGACTGTATTTCAGAAGATTTATATTTGGGTTTTCCCTGACCAGTTACCTGACAGTCTCGATGTCTTTCTTTTTCTGTAGTGAGGTCACAGGACATGTGTGTTCTTCAATGTAATAGACGGTAACCTTATTTTCCTGTAACTTAGGTACTTACTTGCACCGCAAGGTACAAATTCACCTTCACTTCTACATCCTTTGCAGACCTGTTTCCTGTCACACTTTTTTTCGAACTGGATGGTGTTGGTTACCCAAAACTGCATCTTAAATGGACAGTGTTCCTTGGTGCACTTAACAGAACCTTTACAGTCCGCAAATCATGTGCGAGCATGCCCCCTCCAGACAGTAGGGCAGGTTTTCTTCCATTTTCTTCCGTCTCGAAGCAATTCAATTTTAGCAGGTACAAATCACTTAATCTTGTAAACGGTTAAACCATCGATTCCAACTGGCAACTGTCCCACTGATTGCCTCTTGACATTACCCATGTATCAGGAATATCTTGCGCTGTCTTTTCTTCTTTTTATTTTTGTTGTCGTCTTGCAATGACTAAGAACCGTCAGAAAGAGATTCAACGCCACTCTCCGACTGATTCTTTGCCTTTGTCTCTGCCTTCGATTTTCTGGAAAAATAAAGTTATTTTAAAATAATAATTAAAGAAGTGATGCCAATAATTATAAAGGCAAACAAAATTTCCCCATTTTTTGAGTCTTTTTACCCTTTTAAAGATATTAAAATATCAATACAAAATATCCATACAAATTCACCTCTTTTAAAATTATTTTTAAGTCTCACAAGCTCTCTGATTGTTTCAAGAATTGATATCACAAGGAAATTGACACTGATCAATTCGAGGGTGTAAAGGGTTCTGTGCATGATATTAAAAAAACATTTAGATGATGAGAATGAGGTAAGAATCCCTCAGAACAGATATTTCGGATGTTATAAGTTTTGGTACATGTAAAGAAACTACTCGACTTGAGATTCTTTTGCCAAAGGATTATCAAGTTAAGTATTAGTATTCCATAATACCAACTTAATATTTAGTTCTGGTTGCAATTTTTATTATTATGACAGACTTTATTTGTTTTACCTTCAAATGGAGAAAGTGGGTTGGTTCAATTGATCATTGGAGTCAATGTCAGAGTCAAGGACTTCAGAAACATCTTTCCCACAAGTTGCTCTAGAACTGATAGTGGCTCTAACAAAGGGACCAGAAGATCAACATCAATTGAGGAATTAAATGAGATCAGCAGTGAATTAAATGCTAACAATTTAAAAATAAAACAAGGGTAACATTTCAACACTTTCCTGTGGTCACGATCACTGGTTTATTAGTTCAAAATCATGACGAATGAAACATTCAGTCAATAAACAGCCTAACAACTATTCCGTATTCATTCTTTGCTGCCAGAGCGCTAGGGGAGACAGTATCCTATTCTAGGCCAATTTGGGTACTGTAATTTGGATCAGGCGATGAAACATGCGGCCATTCAGTGACTGATAGATCAGACAGCCAATTAGACATGCCTTTACATTCAGTGTTTGGTGTGTGTATTGTGTGTTGGGAAATCTTTGGGAAACCTTTGGCATATAGTTGGGAATTTTCTGAAAAGGAAAGACTGAAAATGTCTCATTTGTATTCTAAACAAGCTTTGCTCAGAAAAGATGGCAAGAAGAAATTTAAAATCTCCAACATTATTCTCACAAATGCTAGAATAACAAATTGAATCGCCTACACCTGTACAATGTTATTAATATTTGAAAAATCCTCTTGGGGATATTTGTTCCAAATTGCATACCATGTGATTACCTATACTAAATGCATCTAACTGGCATTTTTGTAAAATTTGGTTGCTAAATTGTTGATTCATAACCTCATAACTTTTTCCCCTTCCCCCCCTGCATTAAAACAACAGATTACACTAACCTGCTCGCTTTCTCGTTTTTCTTCTTTGGTGGTGAATCAGTAATTTCAATCACATCAATTGGTTTTTGTGACATTTAAGGTTAAAAAAAATACAAGGGTACTTAACAATTATTCCATTGCATTGGATATGAGGTGAGGTGAGGTGGTAGTGTACATTGTGAAAAAAAAAGTTAAAATGTGCGGCTTTTTCAGTCGAGGGGAGGAAGGGGAGTTCATTTGGAAGAATTATATGGCTCTCCGCATTTACTTGGAAGGGATAAAATGTACTTGGCGAGTGTGGAACTCCTGGTTCACCATCTTCCCAGATTTCCTGCTTCATGTGGGCATCGTTTTTCTGCTACATAACAAACGAAAATCATGTGAAGCGCTTTCAATTTAGCCTGTTCAAGCGATTAAGATCATGGGGAATAGTGAAAAGCCCTGCACAACTAAAAAATTGTGCACAAGCAAACAACAGCTGGGAGAGATAGACTTCCCTTTACTTCCCGTGTCTCACTCACTCTAATGAAGGTAGTAATGTAACATAAATATATTTCCATCCTTACTGAACCTAAATTCTTACATACAGATCAGTGAATGTTTTAGCTTACCTTCCCACAGCCATGTGCGTAGTTAAATCTAGGCGTTGACTTATCTAGACTATCTTCAGAGTCACTGTTACATCTTTAAAATTAAAATTGATTAGGGCAACTAAGTTTTTGTCTCCAGGTTTTACTCTAATCGTCAGCAAAAAGTATAATGAACAGTAGTGAACATAAATCTACTTACCAGCGGAACATCATTAAGCAATGCCTTCAAGGCAATCTGTGTGGCCTCCTCGAAGTCTTGCTTTTGGTAGCGACCAAAAGTCATTGTCCAAAGGCGCAGATATTCCTTTTACAACTTCTGAATACATGACAGCATGTGCATCACTACTGGAGCTGGGCCCAAGTGAGTTTTTTTAGCAAAGACATTTCAAAAATAACCTAAAGTCAGGAAGCAGACACACTTTGAAAACAGGATTCATATGAAGGTAAGTAATCCTAAACCTTTCATATGATTTCCATGTGTGATAGACAGAAGGAAAAGAGTAGCATGACACCACGCTGTGCCATGCAGTGCAAGGAAGAAGATATGTTTTTCATCTGATTTTAACACTTGACGCCACGCAATAAAGGCCATTTAATTGTGCAGTCAATATTTTACAGCAGTCAGGTGTTTTGCCCGAATCAGCTCTGATTAATTTTTGAAATATTCCTCAACTTGTTAAGTTAACCACAGCTAAAGTGCAACTAGCTCGTAACGCCATTTAGTTTGCCATCAATTATGAAAAAAAAAAAAAAAAAAAAAAGCCACTATCGATAGCCAATCGCAAGAGAGAAAAGTACTGCTAACAGACAACATCGAATCTAGATTGTGAAACAGAGTCTTTTTTTGTCAGGAAATGGATGAGTTTTATTTTTTTTACTTACATCAAATGTGGCCTAAGCCTTCACCAACATTAACCTGTCCCTACCTTAAACTGATCGTGAGTGGCATCGATGAGACCAGCTGCTCCAACATAAACTTCTGAGGAGTCGAATTTCTCGCCCAAATGAATCTCAACGTACTTCTTTCTACATTGAAGAAGGGACTTGTGGCATCTTTGCCATCAGCCAGGTCGGCCATTTTAACGGCCCAATGAAAACTCTTTCTAATTTTTTAAGTCCATCGGCCGTAAATTTGAACCATCCTCCAAGAAAAGAGAGCAAAAAAATAGAAAAAATGGCTATAAATCGCCCACTTGCAGCTGTGTTTTTCACTCTTGATAAAAAAACTAGTTGCCTTAGCTATTTGCTGGCATATGGGTTTTGTAGAAGAGGTTTCAATGAACAAATTAATACTAAAGTTTGTTTTCTGCGGTTTCTATAACCATTATCGAAACCGCTTTGAAAATTAGAAATTTTTAGATGCATTTCAGTATGGAAGCTGATCTCCAGGTTGAAAAATCCGATGAAGTATTCGTGAAACTTCAGAGTCAGCATATGGAAAAGTTACTTCCATGTCTCAGGAGGGCTTGTGAAAATTTTCTCTGCCGTAGAAGGCTAAGAAGTACCATCAAAACCGATTTTTTTTTTTAAGCAACCTTTGGCCACCCAAAATTTTTACGTCGAGAAGCACGGTTGACTGATTTTTAAAACTCCGGCAAGTGTATTAATATATGCAAAACTCCGCCTCTGTAAACAATAGCGCGCAAGCCACTGCAATTAAGCATTGAAATAGACAACTGCACTAACAATACCGCCTTCGCAAGCTTTAGAATTGACAGAATTCGGAAACGTAGCCATTGGCAACGTTTATCACACCAGGTAAATCGTTACACTCTTCGTTTGCTGCAGCAACAGAAACAACAAGATCTTAAAAATTTAGAATTCTGCCATGTAGACCATTGAGGAAAAGGAAAGAGCGGCAGCCATGATACAGAAGAATAAACTGAAACTATAAATGTTACACTATATCAAGGTAAATGTCTGTAGCAGCTTGTTCCGTTGAAATTTCTCGCAGAGAATTCATCTCCTTTTTACAGAAGAAGAACGTCAAGAAGAACTGTTTATCGTGGTCCGCCTCCTCCTCAAGCGCGTAAAAATTGTGGCACCCCTTTACTATACATTTTACCACATGTTGTGGACAATCGCCAAGGTGCAGGTGGATGTGTGATCTGTAAACATGAACAAATGAGTTAAATGCATCAATAATGACTTTGAACAAACACTCTGCTCAACTAAATATCAAGCCATTACACTTACAAGATTGGGTAGTAATCCTTTTCCTAGCGTTCATACATTGTAAAGCAGACAAGCGATGATCATCGTGCGGATTTTTATTTGATAATACATCAAATTCCAGAAGAAGTAAACAAAGAAATGACCAAGAACTTGAGTTGTGTTGTCAAATAATGTAATCGTCACCCCCAA